TGGACTTGACTGTTTCTCTCCAGCTGTAAGGAATCTCAGTTTCATTTCTCAGAATACATCTGTTAACTAGAATAATCAACAATTGACCAAAAGTATTACTCCAGTCCTTATTGGCGTGGTGTTTAGCATTTGTAAGTTACTTGCACACCTTGGCTAGGCCGATCCTCCTGCCGTGGGATAGACGTGCGTTGTCGCTGGCCTTATTTTGTCTACGAGGACACAGGGCTGAGAAAGCAACTTCTCCGAGGTCCGACCGTATGAGGTCAACTAGTCCCGATTAAACCGTCCGACCTCACATCTCATGCTGAGGCCTGGATAGCACTCTGCCTCTGGTAAATTGCTTGAAATTTACTATGGGGCCAGATAGGAAATGCGCTAGGACAGCGCACTGCTTCACTGGAGGAAAGGCAGGTGCCGATGCTACACTTGCTAATTCAGGTAAAAGCCCAGCAGTGCAGACCCCAGGCTGACGACCCTGCACCCTGGGCTCCTGTTTCAGCTCTAATCCCGAGCCCGGCAAGTTTCTCCTGTCTTCTTCAGTTTTCTCAGTCATAGGTGGAAGGTAATTCTCTATAGCCCAGGGCAGCGAGGACAGAGGCAAGATCACTGCGGCATCAGTTAACATGGGCCAACGGTGCCAGGTCCTGACTGCAGGCGGGCCTTCTGGTGCAGGATGGTGGTAAGAGGACACAGGCTTTGCAGCCCAGTGAGGGACAAGAGGCCTGTGAGAATCAGGTGCCCTCACCTGAGTCTTAGCATCCTTACCTTCGAGGCAGGGTTGTTGTAAAGGTTGAACCTAAGTATACAAATACCTACCACAGCGCTAGCACGTGGCAGGCGGGGACTGGGGGCTGTTAATTTGTCAGCAGTGCTGACTCACTTTATTTAAAGTGGACCTGCTCAAACAAAAGCGTTTTCTTGGTTAATAGGAACACTCAGGTTTAACGAAGTATTAAATGGTTCAAATCAAGATTTAACCTGTTACTCAGTTTGCAGTGACTTCTTCTCAAGTAAGGGTTTTAAACTGAGAAAGTATCAACCCCATTTTTTGGAACAAAATCAGATAATACGAAGAATTTGAGGCAGGGAAAGATAAGTGACCTAATGTTTTGCTTCATTTCAGTCAAAACACGTTGTCTTCCTTTTTCGGGGGCCAGGGGACACAGCACTCCTGTCTGGTTTGTGAGGAAAACAACGGCATGTTAAATATGCTGAAACAAAACCCCTCGTGAAAACCTCCCGAGGCTCTTTTGAGTCACGACACACCATTTACCACAGTTACCTTCCGGAGCCTCCACACTCGCGTAGAATCAGGGTGATGAGGACACACGTGCGTCAAGAAGAGCTGCAGTTGACCAGCAATTTATCCAGATTAAATGAATCCAGAAGTCTACCTCCCAGACTGCCTAAAAGCACCGGAACCAAGACGAAAGAGGAATGGGTCACAGGCTACAACAGAGAGGGAGACAATTTCCATAAAATCTCGTTCTTTACATGCCAGCGATTGCTAAGAGTCATAAATTACTTTAGACAGAACGATGGCGAAGGGCCAGACCCTCCTGCAGAAGCACATTACGTCTTGAAAAGTGCACAGACAGAAAGTTCATAATTTGCTTAGTGAAAGGTTTAATACCTTAATACATGTGACCTGGAACACTATATGAGCATGAGGTACAAAAAGATATTTCAAGTAAATACCTATTCTTTCTAAATAAGTAAAAAGTAAAAAAAAGAAAAAAGAAGTATATAGTAATAACACAATGGATTTTGTTTTGGTAAATGCTTTATTACTTCAGCAATTGCACCCACAGATGGTATTGGGTACCGAGACCACACCACAACGTCCAAGTCGCTGGAGGGCACGTCTCTGTGGGCGGCCCGTGGGTCCTGTCACTGTGGTATTCCTTCTCAGGACCCTGAAGGTACCCTCCTCTGAGCACCCTGTGCCCCAGGTACACCATGCCACGGCTGCCTGATATGCAGTGGTTGGGTGAACCGAGTTGCCTTGTCCCAGTTTAAAATAAAGTATGCTCTAATGGAAACATTTTAGACCTTTTATCTGGACTGTAATAACTTGGTTATTAAACATAAGCAACTGGTGGTTAGCAGAGGTGGTGGGTGCATGAAATGGGTGAAGAGGGTCAAAAAGTACACACTTCCAGTTACAAATAACTCATGGGATCTAATGTACAGCATGGTGGCTATAATTAATGATACTGTATTGCATATTTGAAAGCTAAGAAAGTAAATCTTAAAAAGTCCTTATCACAAGATTAAAAAAAATTATACCTGTGTGGTGACAGATGTCAACTAGACTTAGTGGTGATCATTTTGCAATATATACAAATATCCAATCACTATGCTGTGCACCTGAAACATAACATTTAATGTTACGTCGATTATACCTCCATAAAAATGTTGAAATCAAAAAAACCAAAAAGCAAATAAGCAAAAGCAACTGTTCTAACATTAGATAGCTTTTCACTAACCTAAATAAACACAAAAAGAATTCAATCCCATTTTGGGCACTCCCCGAGGGTTACCTGGATCTTTCTGCTTTATCTTATCACTTACCTGGTGATAAGGTTCTAAGCACTTATCTGTGACTTTTTATCCAGTGTCCACTGGAATTAATCAAAGTGATTTGAAAGACAGCTAAATCTAACTCTGCCTCTGTAACACTACACATTTTAAAAAGAAAACACGGCTAGCCACTTGTCCTTACTGGAAACTTCATCGAAGGTAGGGAAAAAAGACCCAGCTTTAGATTAACGCTATGCCAGTGTCTCACTTCACCTCATTTAGTTCTCGGAACCACCCTAAATGAAACATAGAGCTGATTCTTGAACACCATGGAGGTTAGGAGTGCTGACCCCAGGGCAGTGGAAAATCCTCCGTCCCTGCAGTTCCTCTGTATCTGGGGTTCAGAGTCCACGGATTCAACCAAATGCAGACCGTGCAGTACTGTAGTGTTTACTTTTGAAAAGAACCCGCGTGTAAGTAGGCCCATGCACTTCAAACCTATGCTGATCAAGGGTGAACTGTACTTTAAAAGTGAAGAACCATGATCACGAGTTAGGCAATTTATTCAAGACCTAAGCCCTAAGGGACAAAGATGGAGGTCGGACATAGCAAGGTTTGGCCCCTGTGCCTGTCTCTCTCCAGTAGAGCTGTCTACACTGAAACTGAATAAACGTGAAGAAACCCAGTATTAACAAATATGTTCTCTTCAATTTTCACTTCTATAACTTAACTCTCATCATTAGCTCTCATTAAAATAGAAGTGGAAAACTAGCAAATAGAATTGTTTTCAATATAGTCGATTTATACAAGCAAAGATTCGTTTAAACTGCTCTTCTCGCCATTGGACTGTCATTGACTATTTTAGTTAACTTATTTTCATCTAGTAAACTTCCTAATTTTTATTTGTCTAGGTAAAGCGTATCAAATTTAAACACTTAAGATTCTTAAACGTTTGGGAGTTTTGCTGGAAAGCAAATGCCCATTTGTAGGTATTGATAGGCAAACAGTTCACATTTTAACGTGTGATCAACTACAACGTGCATTTCTCTACCAAACAGCCCTCTGTACTGGAAATTCAATGTAAAAGTTAGGGAGTTATGTCTGGCACAAAAAAAGTTCTCATTAATTGCTTACCAAACGAAGTCAACAATCAGAAAACAACTTATGGCTTTACGTGTAATAAACACATGCCATACACGTGCTCAGATGCTACAGTGGTTCCTCGATTCTTCCTTGTGGTAGCTTCAGGGACTCAGCAGACTACGGAGAGAAACTGTTCTCTCCAATACAGGGTTAAAGTGAACCATATATCGCTTAGAAAGAAAAATTCCATTGACCCTTTCAATATGTGGGCGGTGGAGGGCACCGATTACCATGCAACAAGTCAGTCTCAATCAGAGGTCAGCACAGTTCTTTGACTGGGCCAGAAAGTAGATAATTTCAGCTTTGTGGGTTGTATGGGCTGTGTCCCAACCACTCAACTCTGACGCTGTACCAAAGCGGCCACACACAATGCGCTAGTGAATGAGCCTGGCTGTGTCAATAAACTTTATTTACGGACACTAAAACTTGAATTTCATATAATTTTCATATGTCACGAAATTGGATTCTCATGTTGATTTTTTTTTTTAACCATTTAACAATGTTAAGATCCTTCCTGGCTCACACACCATACAAAAGCAGGTGGTGGGCTGTATTTGGTCTGTGGGCAGTAACCCCCACCCCTGCTCTAAACATACGCTCTGTTTTAACACTTATTTTTTGCCGGCAATTAGATAACTTCTACTTCATTATTAAGCGAGAACAATCATACAAAATCTGCTTAAGGCTTTGTCTAAGCTGCTGGTGACACATGTTTAAGACAAAAATTTAACACTTACTTATGTCAAGATTAAATATACTGGTAGACGAACAAACTGGCCAAGTTGCATTTATTTCTTGATGTCAAGTCTGTACGGCTCTCATGCACACCGTGGCATCTGGCTGCACTTCTGACTATAATGCAGCGAGTGCAAGTTCACTTGAAAATGCACAGTTGCACACCTTATGTAAGTTAAAGACAGCTACACTAGTATTTGTTGATAGCAAAAGCGTGATCTGAAGCTCCAGGACTGGACCACTCCTGTTCGGTTTAATAAAAAAATGTACCCAACCATTAAAAATGGCCATTTGGGGAACAGGCCAGTATATAAAACGTCTGTCAGGTAAAATGTAACCATTTAGCTTTTTAAAAAAATGATTTTCAAACTTTAAACCTTTCTATTGAACTGTTACATGGATATACACTATTAGAGCACAAAACAAATTTGCTACGGGCTATATTTTCAGCAACTCGGCTAACTTTTTAAAAACCTGTTTGTGAAGTAATAACATTTTTTAAAAAATAAAATAGTAGCTAAATGAAATCTCTTCTTTCCACATTTAATGTGTTCGGTTGCTTCCAAGTCATCCCCGACTGCCAACAAAAACGACAGAAACCAGAGACCCACTCGAGTGTTTAATTCAAACCTATATTTGCAGTTTCTAAAATGCTGATCCACAGACCACTCTCTCGTTACACATGTGCACCAACGGAAAAGCAAAGAGAACCCCGGTCATCCCACGAGAGGAACAGCTCCTCTTCCAACAGTCTTCAGAAGGCTACACGTGCAGTCCCTGCGCCCGTCCAGATGGCGATGCAATAAATACACGGCTTGCCCTGCTCGCCTCGGTCCAGCCAGGCCCGCCACTACCTGTTGTAGGCCCGCTCCTTTTTGGACTTCTCCAGGGCCTTGTCCATGGTCTTCTCGTTCTCCCCTCGACATTTGGGGCAGTACCACTTGCCCTTGGGTTTATGGTTCAGCCCCACGCAGGAGAAGTGGAACCACTCGATGGGGCACTCGTCATTGTCACAGCCGATCATCTCTCCATAGGAGACCTGATTGCACAGACAGTACGTGGGCTCGTTCGGGTCAATGGGAAGGTCTGCAGGGGATGCTTCCCTCTCGGCTTTGGCCTTGGAGCGTTTCTTCTTCTTGGAGGCCTTCGCCTTCTTCTCCTTAGGCGTTCCGGAGGTGATGTCATCATGGTCGTGATTATTAGCTGCGTTTTCCCGATTCTCGTTGTTGCGCTGTCGCCGGGACCGCTTGCTGTTAGGCTTTTCTGCCTGCGCGACTGTCTCAGTTTTTGACTTATCCTGGCCAGCTTTGCTGTGGCCAGTGGTGTCACTGACCTCTTGATGTGCCTCAAAGAGTTCCACGTGACTGTCCACCTGCCTGGCCCGGTTCTCCACCAGCTCCACCATCTGACTCACGATCTGGATCTTCTCGTCGCCCAGCTCCTGGCTCCGAATCAGGGCCCTCTGAATGCAGTGCAGCACTCTCCTCCTCTGGGTGCCGTCCGTCTCCCGCTTGAACTTCTCGTAATACTCATCCAGTTCCTTCAGGATTTCTGCAAAGGAAAAAATTAGCGTTACACCCTCACTGTAAACCCTACCAAGGCTTTCGGTTCTCTAATCTACAAAAGAAGTAACTGTTAAGGGACAAAAAGGATCAATGCAAGGCTTCCTAGCACGAAAACTTGTAACCTGTAGGCCTCTCTGGCAGGCTTTTTTTTTTTTTTTCCTGGTGAAAAAAATCTCTAGAACTAAATACAAACATCAACACAGTTCCTATTTATCAAAGTGCCCCTCAAAGCTCCCCAAGGGACTCTGTGTGCATTCAGAGACTGGGTAATGAAAACTCCTTGGACAGGCAGCTACAGGGAAAGGTCAAGTTTAGGTGAAGTACTGAGGTCCAAACCTTTATTTTCTATAAAATTAATGATTATGCCCTAAATTTCCATTGTTTTTATTCAAATATTTTTGTAATAATTGAAAGGTTGTTATTTTAGCTATTTTCATGCACCGACATCTAGAATACCGGATTAAATTAGAGAACGTCCATAAATACTACAGTGACCCAGGGCCTCAGTTTATTGGTCACATCATTCCATCCCAGCACATACAGGAATATCTCTGCATTACCGTGTATTACTGAAAACAAGAACGGTTTGTCACAATAAGCCGGGCGACCCAGCCTTGCTTCAAAACAAACGTTGCAGATTTTACTTACTACTTAAAACAATAACATCTATATCTATAAAAGACAACAGATTTTAGATAATCTGATTGAAATAAGGAAAGTAAATATTCTTCCCAAGAATCTACTTAAATACACAGATAGAAATTCCCAGAGTTATTTTCCCTAAACAGTAACCATTAAATTAAATAGTATCAGATTTTTCTCCTGAAAACCTTTTGTAGTCTCTTAAAATAAGGCAATTCAACTCTCCCAACTCGGAAGCTGTGGGAGGATATGGGTGAGACGAGTATAAAATGTGACATAACCCCTTCCAGATCGTATATCCAATTAGTTATAGGGCATAAACCTCACACTAGAGCAAACATATGAACTTAGGCGAACACTACTTAAGCACATATTATTTTCCAGGATACATTCTTCAACTGAAGATAGCGCTGAAGACATTTCTTAGAGGAACAATGCAGACTGTCTGCAACCAGAAAGGAGGAATGCCATAGTCTCACGGGCTCTTGGAGTAATTATTCCTGAAAATAAACAGCTCTACTCAACTTATCCAAGTTCTATTTCACAGGTGCTAAAATATGAGTTTCTGCCATTTATTTTTTAAGTGATTACACATTACAGAACTATATCACTTGGTTTAATTAGTAACCAAGTTTCTAAAGACAATTACCATTTCATAGAAAAGAGAACAATTCCATCATATTGCTAATTTAAAATTTCATAGCACACAGCTTCTTTTACATCACAAGCAAGCTTACAGCCACGTGAAGCTCCGCTGTGGGGAAAAAACAAACACCCCATTACAAAATTACCAAGAAATAATTCTTTTACCTACACAACACCATACATTTCTTCGATGCCCCAAGCGAAGCATTCTTATCAACAAAACCACTGAAGTACAAACATCTGTAAACAGGAACCCCTGTGCTAACTAGGGCGGCATCCTGTCAGCACACCTGGCTTCTTCAGCTTCATCAGCTCCAACCGCTGCTGACCCTTTTTTCTAAAAATGCTCCATACCGTCACTATAGGAAAGCAAGGGTACCATGGAAAGAATCTAAGGATTAAGTGAGACTGCAGCCAAATTTAAACTGATCTGTCCAATTATTAGAAATGTTTTTTTTGTTTTACACAGGGATTGCGCTGAAGTTCTTTATGAAGCCTTCCTTGGTGCGTGGGCATTTAAAAAATAATACTTTAAAAGTAGCTGAAAAATATTTTAAATTCAAAATAACCTCAAATATCATTGGTAAACTAATTACGATCCATCCTTATGAATTAATGTCCAGTTGATGTTTACTATGCAAATACTGTTAACCAAAGTTTGACTTGCAACCTAGGAGTTCTTTTAAAAATAAAGCCTTAATTTTTAGATTAGACTGTGCTGCGTATCTCAACACTCAGTACTAAGTCCCAACCAAATGAGTTACGACTATTACCATGACGGATGTTAAGGCTCTGCAGCTCACTCAGGGCACTGGCTTCCACGTGAGCCGGGTAGCGTGCGGGTGGGACCGATTTTCTCCGAAGGAGCCAAGTACGCACTGAGCGTGTATTAACTCGACGGAAGACACTCCGGCTCTGAATCGGTAAAACAGGGTGTCAGACAGTAAAGAAAGCTGTAAGAAAGCAACCTCAACGGTACACTGACGTGGACGCTTGAAAATTTTCAGTATGAACTTCTTCGTCTCCTTGCGATTTCCTAGAAATGCTAAGGAACAGTGCCGGTCACGACGAATTCCTCAAAGACTGGGAAACCCGTTAACTCTCCGCTTTAGTCATTCCACCACCCGAGCCGCCTCCGAGCTCAGCGCACACGGGACCCCCTCGGGGGCCGCCCGGCTCTCCCTGTCCTGGGTCACCGACCCACCAGGCCCGGGTCACTCACGCTGCCCCCGCTCCACGCAGCCGCACCCGCGGGTCCTCGGGGCCCGGGCTGGAGGCCCGACTGCGCCCTCGGCAGCCCCGGCAGCAAGGATTACCGGCCTCGCCCTGTCCCCCGGGCGCCGCCATTGCTCCGCGACTGAAGTGACCAGCATCACGTCCGTGGGGGCGGGGCCAAGCCGATCCCCGCCAATGGGGAGGTGATCAGCCGGCGGCGCGCCCCGCCCCTGGAACCACTGCCTATGGGGATCGCCGGGCCGGAGGGCGGAGGCCAGGCGAGGCACCAATCACAACGCAGGACCAGAGAACACAGCCCGCCCTAGCTACACCAATGGCCAATGCGACGGCGGAGGCCAAGAGACCCGAAGACATTCAAATCAACTCGACCTCCTCCCTCCTCCCCGCCCCTCTACCAAAGAGAAAAAAGAAAGCAGCGGAAACAGAGACCCGTGCCAGTCACTGCGCAAGGCCCGCCCTCATCCGGCCCAGCAACCAATGGTTCAGCAGCTGACTGATAAGGACATTCCATGGGAGATGCCACGGCCAATTACAGGAGGCCGAGGCGGAACATTCGCAATATGCTAATAAGGCTCCTATAAAAGTCGCTGCGAAGCCGAGCCTTCGGTGGAGCGCGCAGGGGCGCCTTCCCCTCAGGAGTTTTCGGGGCGCTGTGGGGCGCTTCCTGGCTTCCCACCTCCCCCCACTCTTCCGTTTGCCTGCTGCGCAGTCCTGTAAACATGGGTAAACTCCGAGTGACTATCCACGTTCCAAATACAGACCCCAATGCCGTGCCTGACCAGGCAGGAAAGTTTCCCCAACAGCCAGCAATTCCCAGCGGACCCGAACCCTCCGTCTCTCTCCGGCAGTCTGGGCAGCCGGGGCTGCAGAGAACGACCCACAGGTCCTCTCCCCTGCCATGTTCCTCTCCAAGCCGACAATACTTGCCTGCGCCCCCCGAGCGCAGCACAGATGGGCGACTTCTTCGCCCCATCCTCCCTTCCCTGCCCTCCCCTTCCCCACTGCATACACGGAATAAAGCCCTGGCCCTCCGCGAACTACACCCGGCCGCGTCGCCCCTCTCAAGTCGGCCCTCACTCGGTGTCCAGGACCGGGGGCTGGGCGGGGGCGACTGGGGCTACACCACGCGAGGTACGGACCCCGGACTTTATGTAACACTCAGATTCGGGACTGGGTGAAGGTGGTTCCGGGGATAGCGAGCAGGGCCGGGGGACCCCTCGTCCGCAGCGCCCTCCTAGCAGCCCTGCGCGCAGCCCCGTCCCTGCGCCCCTCAGCCTAGCGACCGCGGCACATCCCTCCCTCGGCGCTGTAGCCTGCGCCCCCTGCGCCCCCTCCCCCGCAGCACCCCGCCTCGTCACTTCACTACAAAGAGCGCTTTGCTCGCGCAGCCTGGCGTTGAGACCTCTCGTTCCTCCTTCCTCCTCCGTGTCCGGGCTTCGCGCACAAGGACCTTGGCAAATCAAAGACGCTCCAGACCTTTTGTTTCTGCCAGCAAGGGCCCCGCCGCGGGCTCGCGGCTCTCCAGGAGGGGAGCAGGACGGCCCGCAGCCCCGCGGCGCGCCGCGACCGGTGGGGATGGAGCAGCCGCCCCCGCCCATCCATCCCGCCGTACCTTGGTATTTCGCGTCGATCTCCCGCATCAGAGAGACGTTTCTCTGCAGATCGAAAGGCAGAGACTCGATGGAGTCCAGGTAGTCCTCCACATAGTTCACCAGGTGGATCTGCTCCCCGTTGGCAGGGCTCAACATGGTTCACCGAGGTCCCCGGCGACTCCGCGCGGCTTTCCGCTTCCTCCGGCCCCCGCCCCCTCGGAGCCCAGCGCTGCAAAATGCAAGGCTCCCGCCCGCCGTCGCCCCCCCTCCGGCCGGCCCCGCGCCGCTACATCTGCGAGCCGCGCTGCCTGGGCCCGGGGACCGGCGCCTGGCGGGCCGGACCGGCGCTCGGCGGCCTCAGGCGCGGGGCGGGCGCAGGCGGGCGTGCGGGCGCGCACCCCGGCGCAGGGGCCGGGGCCGGGGCCGAGCGAGCGCGGGAAGGGGCGCGCGCCGCCCGCCGCGCCGCACTTGTCCAACGTGGAAAACCCAAATACCAGTTTCAAACACTTGGGAAACATTCGGCCCCCAGCACCGCGCATGCGCCCCGGCCCCTCCGCCCCCCCTCTCCCGTGGGCCCCGCCCCCACCGCATTCATGCCCCTCACCAGCCCCGCCGCCCGGGGGTGTGGGTTTGTCTGTCACTTTTGCCCGGGCGGGGGTCGCGAGGGCAAGGGGCAGCGGGCGAGGCGCAAACTTTACTAGGAGTTTCGCACTTGCAGGCGGAGCGCGTCGGGCGGCACTGCACGCCCACAGGGGGACGCGGGGCAGCAGGTAGCCCCGCCCCAGACCTGGCCGGAACGGACCCGGCAGTGGCACCATCGCAAGCCCAGGTTGCCACCTCCCACCCCACGCTCAGCCCCTCACTCTCCGAAGCCCGCCTTGCAGCGGGAAATAAGTAAGGCTCGGAACAGACTGGCAAACTCGACAGCCAATCGAGTTGCCGCTCTCCCTCAGTAGTCCAATCAGGACGAAGAGAAGGCGGGGCGAGCACGGATACCTCCTCCCGGGCTCTTACTACTAGAAACCCGCGTCCTCCAGGGGGCGGAGGGACAGGGCTGGCCGAGCAGGCCGGAAGCGATGGCGCATGCGCAATGGTGCGGCCCAGGCAGCAGCCTGCCCGCGCGGGAGACCTACCATTCGGCAGTCGGACCACCACTCCCAGCAGCCTCGGCGGCTCCCGCGCTTGCGCGGTCCTCACCGCCCTCCCTTTGTGTTGCCGGCCGGAGCCCAGTGTTGGGCGGCTTGGTGACAAAGGGGCTCGAGAGGGGAGTCGTTCCCCACGCCGGGCCCCCGCAGAGGGCGCGCCACCCCGACTCCTTCCCGCCTGTGTCCTGGAATCCGTTCTTTAAGTCCGTGCCCCCATTTCGAAAGACCGCCCAAAGCGGGGCGGGGCAGGCTTCCACTTGTCGGGGTCCTGGGGGGTCTCTCCCTTTGCTGGCTCGGCCCCTCCCCTCCCCGCCATGGCTCCTCTCCCCGCCCTAAACTCCTCGATTAGGACTTTCGGAAGAGCCCCGTTGCCTAGACGACGGGCCCGCGCTCAGACCCGCCCCTTCCGGCAGAGGCCCCGCCCACGGGCGTGGCCACGGCTCCGGCTTTTGTCCTCTGGGCCCAGGCCTGCGCCACGGCTGGTGTTCGCTGCTTGGCGCGCTCGGCCGCTTCGGCTGTGCTCAGCTGTTTGGCCGTCTCCTCTTCCGAGGGGCGGGTGTCCTGTCGCGGTCTCTAACCCTGTCAGGTAGCTCGGCCGCAGCCTCCGGACGTCCGTACCAGCTCCGCGCCTGGGCGGCGCCGCGCCCTTCGGCTCGTGGATGGGGCGTTTCGGCCTCGCTCCCGGGTGCCCTGCTGCCCCGCGGACGCTCCATTTGGTCGGGGAGCGATGCTCTGAGGTTCGGCACGTTCTGGTTGGAGCTCCGAGTCTCCGGAGAAGCAGTGTTGTGACAACCACGACCGCCGGGAAGTTTTAAGTTACTCTTTGTAACCCAGTAGTATTGCAGACCAATCCAGTGTTTATAAAATAGGTAATTATCTGCAGCGGTGCTCATTCCAGCGATCTGCGGGGCGCAGACGAGACTAAATGGAGCTGTTTGTCTTTCGAAATGAGTTGTTCACATTGGATCGTTGATGCGGTGATAAACGACGAATAATACTTACACTTTGAAGTAAACGGGTTTGATCTTTACTCTCAGCCCCCTAAACCCACCCTCACATCAGGAGAACGTTCACTTCGATATTCAGGAAAATGGTTGTTATTTTACTTAGCGATTCGCATTTTTCCAGTTTTGGCCCAGTTTAAAGCAAATGATGAGTTAAGTTTCATTTACTGGCCACTAGCCTGCACAAAAGACTTTAATACTATGACGTTATGTGGAAACGGAGACATTATATGGGATAGAGTAAACGTTGAATAAAAAAAAATAAGTAATTTTAAAGTACAGTTGCAAGAAAGAGATAGGTTCTTTTAATCCTTGCCTTCATCGGCTCTAAAATGAGTAGTGTTTATCTTGATTTAAGAATAAAGGTGAGAAACAATTTACCCCTTCCAGTGATAAGCAAGCCGGAGTTTTCTTGTTTGTTTTTTAATCACGATGTCATCCCAATAATGATTCTTCATGTTTTCATGGACTTCACAGACACGTTAAACAAAAAAAACTTATTCATTCAACAAGAAATATTTAATAAGCACGTAGCATGTGCTAGCTGCTGTTCTATGCAGTAGGGATGCAGTGGTGAAAAATGTCTATAAGACATTTAATTTATCCCTTGGGCTAAAAAGTCCGAAAATATTTGATTAGCTTTACAAAGTTCTTAAAGTGTATGCCAATGACTTTACCGTTTTCTGGATAAGGTTAGAAGACCAATAGCTAAGGCATGACTGTGACCACGCATTTTAGATATGCCACTAAAGAAAAGTGTTTAATTTTGAGGATAGATTGAAGAATTTTGGTTGTTTCAATTTTGTTCTTTGGAGTGTGTTTCATAAATAGTTATTAAATTCTCTTTTCTAAGGTTATATTTCTAGTTTAACTGGAGATGCTGAAACCTATGGGAGTAAAAGAGATGAACATACAATTCTTTATGTTTTGAGGTGCTTAAAATATAAATCCTAACACATTCATCTCAAACTTGAATTGCCCTAAACAATATGTGCTATCTTATCTACTCTACTTTCGATTTACAAATTTTGCTTTGAAAGAAAATGTAATGCTGAGAACTACATTTTTTTTTTGCTGTTGTCATGAAGGACTAAGAAATGGCATTCGTGATATTTTGGAATCATTAATTTTAATATACTTTGCTCTGAGGGGTCACCTCAACGCTCACGCACTCTTTTGGTGTATGTGCTAATATATCTTCCCAGTCACTTTAATATTGAACCTGCAAGAGGAGTCATGCTTTTAAGCATCATTAAGTAATGGGTATGTTTATCACTGTTTGAAGATTCCCATAAGACTTAAGGTAGCATTGCTGCCTGCCAAGGGCTGAGCACCTTACGGGACCAATTTCCAGAGGACAAGATACCACTGTTAGTTTAAAATCATGATGTCCTATGGCCAATTAAAACATGCCAGCTATCCAGATTCATGTGCGGGGTTTGGTGTTGTCTTACTAAATCTGTTTTCAAAACTTCTAGCTTTTTCCTTGAATTCCGCATATTCTCACAGATTGCAGTCAAGCCTTTTGTTCATTTTCTTATTTTACTGGCATATCTAATATCTGGGTCAGAGCTTTCTCTATCAGATGTTTTACTGCTCAGATGTTCTCACACCTGCACAACAGGTGGATTTCATCAGAGATTAATTCTGCAATCCTTTTCTGAATTTGTTGGTGGGTACAGTGAGTGTTCAAAAGAACTTGCAATCTAAAGTACTCAGGGATTGGGTAATGCACCAGCAGAACTGTGAGTATTTGGGGAGTGTGTGCTTAGCACTGATGTGGAAGTCTCCTAATTCTGAACGGCAGATTCTAACATTTTAGCGTCATGCATGCCTTAGAACACAATTCACGTTAGACTACCGTTTAGCTGCAGAGCTGGACTCCAGGGATCTTGGGGAAAAGTTTAAGTGCTCTAGGAAGATAATTGTTTGTCTCTAGTTAAGCACTTGCCTTTCTATAGAACGACCAAAACAAGCCCAAGAAAGAACTGGGGAACTTATGTGCTGTTTTGAGGACTGCAAAAGCAAAGGGGATGTTTTTTTCTTTTTTCCTTTCCTTTCTTTTTCTCTTTCTTTTTCCTTCCTTCTTTCTTTTTCTTTCTTCCTTCCTTTCGTTCTTTCTTTTTTTGACATGGTTTTGGAAGATATCAATAGGGACACATTTGTCGAGATAATTTGAAAGTAACTTAAAGAGAATCCACCTT